AAACGAAATTTATAAACTATGAAAGTTACAATCCATGTACACTTTGACAATTCATGAACTTATTTTTGCAATGGATATACAGTATCTGTCTGTCTATCTGATTCTGATGTATATTACAGTGTCAGTATATATGTCTTTTCATCACCATTTCTCTGCCAAGTTTAATAAACATGTCTTTTTAAGTTCACTGGTTTTTGAATTAGATATTTTTCTACTAAATTTTGCCCAACTTATTCAGATGCAGCCCAGATGGTATCAAACTATGTAGAATATAGTTTATAAACTGTTATATGCAGGCTAGTTTATAGATGGCTAACTTTAATTTAATGTACTTTCTGCTCTTTCTTCCTTTTTTAGTTGAAGTTAGTTGATGGTGTAATATATACGCATCCTCAGAAAAAGCTTTAACTTGTAGTCCATAGGAAACTCTGGGCAAGAATGGAATGTGATGGACACACTTTGGAGGCTCTTTAGCAAATTAGCACCAACTAATTTGGACCTGTTATATGCTGAGAATTGCTGCACAAAAACATCTTCTAGATGCAGAACAAAATCAAGGAAGTGCTGGGATGGTAGGATTAATCCTTGAGACTGTGCTCTCATTGTAGTTCTTATAATAACAGTACAACAAATTTGCAGAATCTGCAGTTTGGGACATGGTGGCTTCTTTGCACAAAGAGCATTCGTGAACAGTGAAGCACTTCTTGAGAAGGTATCCGGCAACATATGCAACAGCATTTTGTTGGACAATGCTGGAACTGACTTCTTTCTCTCTGTAGTCTGTTACTCCTAACACCAATGTTTGTGGTTGATGACCAGGTCTCACCAATGCTGCATTGTTAGAGCGGTTTGAAAGTTGGGAAAGGAGTGAATCCAAATCTTGTGCACAGTTACCATTGCCAGAGGTGAAAAGAGAACTGAAAAGAAGTTTCCTAAAGGCCCTAGTGAACTGTATTGGTGTAGGGTTGTCACTATTCCCTCCCTGTTGCCTTATTGTACCAAAAAAGCTACAGCACTTGCGTTTTGGGTGTGGAGAAGAAATTTTAGTTTTAAAGCAAAAGTTAACCCCTCAATGCAAATGACAATTTTCTTGCATTTTAATTGAAAGTCATAGTTTTCTCAAATATATTTAATTTAATTTATAAAATAGGTATTAAGTGAGTTCAGTAATTATAAAAAGAGAAATCTACTTTGCACTGTTTTTGACAATTTTGCCTATTCTGCAAAACAAAGATATACACACACAAATTGTTTGGAAAAATATAAAAAAATATAAATATATTTATTGGCATACAAAACATTGTCACACTCAGTTTTCACTTCTTTTCCAACACTAATGTTTCTATCTCTGTGTGGAAATTCCAGTCATTTGTAACCATAGTACTCTATATAGATCTATTGCAATGGCAAACCTATAAAATAAAATAAAATAACCATCATTGTTTGAGCAAATAACATCCATGAAGATTTATTTTATAAAGAAATCACATCATCCAAAATTTGTATCAGTAGCGTAGCCAGCCCGACGATTTAGTCCCGCAATGCAAATATTTTCGTGGTCATTGACTGTGAAAACAATCAATTTCTAAAGAAATGAATAATGGTAATAATTTAGAATTTGCATAGTGGGACTAAGTTGTCTGGCTGCGCTCTAGACAACTGGCTGCGCTCATAGCGGGACTAAGTTGGCTGGCTGCGCCACTGATTTGTATACAATGATATGTACAGTACTAATTCTAATAAAAGCCAGGACTAGAACTCTGATTGTCATCACAGCCATTTCCTTTCTGTCAAATGTTTTTGTGTATAACAGGTCCAAATTATAATAGTTTTGTTTGTGGAAACACCACGTAAATTTATTAATTATTAATAATAAATTTACGTGGTGTTTCCACAAACAAAACTATTATATTTTATCACCATGCAAACATACAAAGAACTTAGGTCCAAATTAGTTAATTGGTGCTAATTTGCTAAAGAGCCTCCAAAGTGTGTCCATCACATTCCATTCTTGCACAGAGTTTCCTATGGACTACATGTTAAAGCTTTTTCTGAGGATGCGTATATATTACACCATCAACTAACTTCAACTAAAAAAGGAAGAAAGAGCAGAAAGTACATTAAATTAAAGTTAGCCATCTATAAACTAGCCTGCATATAACAGTTTATAAACTATATTCTACATAGTTTGATGCCATCTGGGCTGCATCTGAATAAGTTGGGCAAAATTTAGTAGAAAAATATCTAATTCAAGAAAACAGTGAACTTAAAAAGACATGTTTATTAAACTTGGCAGAGAAATGGTGATGAAAAGACATATATACTGACACTGTAATATACATCAGAGATACTGTATATCTATTGCAAGAATGAGTTCATGAATTGTCAAAGTGTACATGGATTGTCACTTTCATAGTTTATAAATTTCGTTTGAAGTAATATTCATGTTACTTTCGAATGAAAACATACAGCAAATGGGACGAAAAGCTATGTTCTTTTATGTCTGGCTGGCCGAACTAGCCATATTTAAGAGCACAAAATTTGACTTAAAAAAAACACTTTCAGGGCTAATAAAACAGATAATAATACTTTCTTACCTTTCTAATTTTAATTTCCGACCGTAAACGTTGAATTCAGGTGTCCAAAACCGGTAAAAATGAAGTTTTTATGCGCGCGATGCCAATTTCACAATACATTTTCTATTCGTTCTGGCTGCACTTTACTGGCCAGAGTAATGGCGGCCAACCGGAAGTTGCACCTGTCGGTGGCATCAAAAACTTCAAAGGAGTGAGCCATCTATTCATTTCTTAATCTATGCTATTACAGTGAAAATACAAAAAGTGTCCCACTTCCGCTTCTGTAGTTTGTTGTGATTTACTGTAATTTGTTATGTTTTTCTGTAGCGATTACCGATTTATCGGCAAATACCGCGATAAAACTTAGTTTTTTTCTTTTTTTAAGTATGATCATTTGTAGCAAAGGGAAATAATACATTTTTCGTTAGTTTCACTGCATAAAAGGAACGAAATTTAAATTTTATCGCAGTATTTGCCGATAAATCGGTAATCGCTACAGAAAAACAGAACAAATTACAGTAAATCACAACAAACTACACAAGCGGAAGTGGGACACTTTTCGTATTTTCACTGTAATGCCATAATCATACTCGTGATTAACAAATCAACCTCCCGCTACGCGGTCGGTTGATTTTGTAATCACTCGTATGATTATGGCATTAATAGCACTCCTATTAATTCGTTCTATTACCATAATTAATTTATTAACCTTTATAATTAACCTATTAATTAACTTAATAATTTATTAACATTTATAATTAACCTTTATAATTAACCTACTAAGTTATAATGTCCTTTATTAAAATATCAAATACCTTTCTGTTCGCAGGTTTTCCCATAATACCCTGGGAGACAAGCACACTGGAAATCTTTTCCAACATGTTCACAACTTCCTTCATGAAGACATGGATCATCCGAGCATGGTTGATCTAAAACCAGATAAAATTTTAAAGTATTATTCAACGAAATTTTACATGGCATTTTAAAGAAAATCCAGTATGACTAATGAGATACTGTGCCAGACTGTTGAGATATTTAACAAACTCTGATTCGCAACTGCCGGTACATGCAACAGCACGTGTTTCTTCGAAGAAGATTTTCCTACACTAGTACAGTACTACAGGGTGTATCAAAAAAGACTCAATCCTCGACTGAAATGTAAATTGCTAAACAAATAATAGACGAAAACGTTAAAGTTTACATTCATTTTAAAGCGTAGCCATTCAGCTTTCTAACAGTGGGTTGTTTCTTAAATTTGACTCATTGGTCCGCGGCTAATAATACTTTACGTTATTGCGATTGGAGATTAAAAAAATTGAGATGGAATAACAAATCGTTCTCATGAAAATAACTGATATTTTCATTAAAACAAAAAATGTTGCATTTTATTAAATGGATTGTAACAATAAGTATAATTACGGCTTTTCTTCCACTATTTTTAACTCAGTTTTAAACTTCAAATGCGATATAATTTTGGCTTGGACCATCTGAGCTGACTGACATCAACTTGCTATAATTTCTGTTTACATTACATCGCAATTCGATGACACTCTGGCTCAGACACCAGAATGTTTTGACGATTTTTAGCATTCGTTTATATAGGATTTTCAAACAACCTGGTCTCTTTTAAAATACTTTTAATTTTGTTCTTACGTGGTTTTTAAGATGTAGCGACGACAACATTAAAGTTTAAAGAAGAATATTCTAACATTTAAACCGTCTAAACAATAACATAGTAAACTTGCATAATTAAACAGCAACTAAAAATGGTAGGTTTTACTAAATCTTTTCCTGTGCAATTATTACTAGCATTGGAAACAAGGATAATAGTTTGTTTGAAAGAGAAAAGAACAGGCTTTGAAATAAGCCTAAAAGCGTTTAACTAGAAATAGTATTTCGAAAGTTATTAAGCACAAAAGATGAATTGCGTTTATTTTGATACATCCTGTATACACAGAGATCTTTCTGAATGTGAAAAAGCAGAGATATGGTTAACGTTTAAAATTGCTTTTGCTTGTTTTATGCCGATCGCGACCTGCACACAATCTCTATATAACCTATTCACAACAGCAGCTAAAAAGGCACAACCTGGCCAGTGCTAGCTAGTGGTCGCAATCATTATCAAGTATGTGCAATATACTTTCTCGCTCAAACGGTCAGAAGTAAAATGGCGAAAACATTAGGTAACACCAGTTTACAAATGGCAGCTTTTTAGTTTACATTATAAATCATCAAGACATTTATATCATGTTTATAGTAGGCACCGTCATTCTTAACTTCATGACATATCTCATAGAAATTAAACTGACTCCATTTTCAGAGATAGATACCGATACACTATTACAGAGATAAAATAACATATAAACCTTAGCCCGCGTGCAGGCCCAAGGGAGCAGGCTCAAGGGAACTTGATAGTGGGCCTGCAAGCAAGGCCCGGTATTTTGTACTTTCCGCGTTCGCCCACGAACGCGGCATTCTGATTGGCTGTTTGCTGTTAGATTCTATAATTAGGTCAGTGATTCATCACAAAGGCTCTCGATAAGCTCAAAATTCGAAAATTGATCACTTTTTTCGATTATAAATGGAACAAGAACAAACTGTTTATTGTTTACTTGAAGGAATAGATGTTTTTGCCGTTATGCCAATGGGGATTGCTTGTCGTGAGGTGTTGGAATAGCAACATTACGACTGGGGTAAACTATAGTAACCTTTACTTGAGTTTCATTAATTTCAAACAGACTTGATACGTTATATGTTCCTCAAGAAAATTATCTTTTGGTTGATGTTGAGATGCAGTTGCATGTAAAGGCCCTGTTACACGGTGCAATTTTTCATGCAACTTGTCTCGCAATGGCGTTGCGAGACAAGTTGCACGAGTCATTGCACCGTTTAACATGCCTTGAAATGGTCAAAATCGTTGCGAGACAAGTTGCATGAAGCATTGCAGAGAGTAGAAGTCGGTTCTACTTTTGGCAACGATTGCACTAATTATTTTAAGGGTTGCAGCGTGTAACATGGCTTCGTGCAACTTGTCTCGCAATGTTTATAGCTTGGAGAGTTCCTATTGGCTCTCCCAGTACACGCTTTATTTTAATTAAAATTTGCCGCCAAATAGCGCCTCTCCCTAGTCTCTTCGCATGCCTCTGTCCCCTATCGTTGCGAGTTGCACGAAAATCATTGCAGCGTGTAACACCTCTTGCAATGCATTATCAAAATCTTTTTATAAACATTGCGAGACAAGTTGCATGAAAAATTGCACCGTGTAACAGGGCCTTAAGCCTAGCCTGTTAGAAACACTTTGCGATTTACAAGGCTTCGCTGAGAGAGCAAAACAGAAGACGGTATTATTAAAATTGCCGTTTGAAACGAAACGATCTGGACTCTGAACGCTCTCTTCTTTTGTAGAGTTCTATACCAAATGAAATAACTGAAATAAATTTCGTACTTTCCGCCGCCAACAAGAATTGCACACACGATCTGATAAGTGAGGCAATTTAATTATTTATAACAATGCCAATGGCGACAGCGAAGCACACACAATATAAATGCTAATGTGGTCGCACGACTTCCCTCACGATTTGAAGTTTGAGACTGGTTTTCTGTTGAAATTCGTCCTAATTTGCCTGTTCCGATTTTAGTTGAAAATAAGCACTTGCAAATTTGGCAATTACTGACTGCGTTGCTTGCTTTTTTGGAGTTAAAACGCTGCCATTTACACATTGTTTATGCTCTGAATAAGCAGAGAAAACCCCGCAACATTTTAATGCGAGTTTGTTTGTTAATATTTGGGTGCTGTCATTGGTTCTTTTTTGACAATTGACGCGCGAATGGGGCGTGTTATGAAAAGGGGCGTTTTAGAAAATACCGGGCCTTGCTTGCAGGCGCACTATAAGTTCCCTTGGGCCGGCACGCGGGCTATATAAACCTTAAAAAGGTATTTTTGACCTATGGTCATGATTATTTAGTAAGCTTCGTGTATTTCGCGCCCACGCGCGCGCGCGAAATTCATGAGCCGTCACGGTTGGTCAGGTATTTCGCAAATTAAATTTTAAAGGTCAGAATTTCGCTTGACACCGAAAAAAGTAAGGCATTCAGGTACAAAATTTCTACTCATAATTTGGGGTTGTACAGCCTGCGTGTTTAACGCTTTCGTGTTTAACCCGATTGTGTTTAATTACAGGGTACATAAAAAAGGGACTAGCTAACAGTCGTGGGTCGTGGGTAGAATGTCGTGGGCCGTGGGTAAAAAGTCTTGAGCCGTGGGTAAAAAGTCGTGGTTCGTGGGTGGGTCCTGGGAAAAAAGTCGTGGGTCCCAAATAAAAAGTCGTGGGTCCCGAGAAAAAGTCGTGGGTTCCAAGCAAAATGTTTCCTCATTTTTACCTTTTCCCTTTTGGAATGCGTGTTTTTCGTTTTCTGAGGCTTTCTCAAATGTACGTAGAGGGCATTAAGGATTTAAAGGCAGTTGATATCGACAGATCGGTTTATTAATATAAACCAAGTGTGGATGAAACAGTTGAACTTCACGCCCCATATAGCACTCAACTTTTTGGACGTTATAATCTTATAGACAGCTAACTTAATTATACTGTAATTCTTCGAAAGGAACATCTCTAGACCGACGATGTTGCTGTTATTTACCTGCTGAAGTCTATCCTAAAGGATTTATTTAATACTGAGATGTGGAATTGTAACGAAATAGAGAGATCTTTTGATTTCTGAAATATTGCAAACCACAAACGGAGCAAACCTTGCATGTAACAATGCTACTCGGACTGTTATTAAAAGAGCTTTGAAATTTCCAAATTCCAACTTGCCATTGACTTTACTGAAATTTGATGGTCAAGAAATATGTTGAAATATATACCTCCCTGTTATCAAACCTACGGTGAAACAATCCGACAAAAGCTGTCTATATAAGATTATAGCGTTCAAATATTTGAGTGCTATATGGGGCGTGAAGATGAACTGTTTCATCCACACTTGGTTAATATTTATAAACCGATCTGTTGATATCAACTACCCTTAAATTCTTAATGCGCTCTATTCTCTATACGTATATTTGGGAAAGCCTCAGAAAAAAACACGCATTCCAAAAGAGAAAAGGGAAATATGTGGAGACAATTTGCTTGGAACCCACGACTTTTTCTCGGGACCCACGACCTTTTTCTCAGGACCCACGACTTTTTTCTCAGGACCCACGACTTTTTATCCACGACCCACGACGTTTTACCCACGACCCACGACTTTTTACCCACGACCCACGATTTTTCACCCACGACTTTTTACCCACGACATTCTACCCACGACTCACGATAGCTAGTCCCCATAAAAAACTGACCTTTGAAATCAGATATTTTTAGAATTTGCATGATTCAGCACTAACAGCTGTTATCGTAATTGAATACGCCGCTGCGGCGAACCAGCGGTATCTCAGTGGGAGTACGCACGAAAACGAGGCTAAAGGGTCGAGCAGACTCGAACTAAATTACAAAGTAAAATATAGTAAATTATGGCATCAACTAACATTATAATATAGCATTTGTAAATTCTAAACGAGAAATTTTCAACACGGGAAATTTTCCGCCGCTCGTAAACACGGAAATTTTTCTCATCCTTCGGGCTTTTGACATTGCTATATTATAGCTATATTATATCGTGTTGATATAACTGTATATCAACACGGAAAATGTTTTATATTTGTTAAATATAAACGGAAATTCTTTGCCCGAGGCAGTATTTTTTTGTGCAGAAGACAAGGTTCAGTTACTTAGTGGCGCTTGCCCTCGACATATTACTAAAGCACGGCTGAAAGAATGGCTTTCCTATCGCGAAGGTACAAGTAAAGATGGAAGTGCCAAATCTGATGCAACGAAAGCTGAGCTAGTAATAAGATATTTTATTGTATTTTGTATTGTCACGATGATATTAAAACTGAATGGATTTATCTTTAGCAAGTTTTTAAAGCAAATTATACCTACTTCATCTTATACAGGGTTGTCAGCTATATAAAAAATGGTTGGGACGTCGATTTCGCACCGAAGTGGCAGCATCTATTAAGAAGTAAACAAACCAAATCTACTGATACAGCAGGCACTGCATGTAAGTTTCCCAACGCTGGACAATGTCAATGGATTCCATTACACAATGTAAAGGACAATGTACCCAGCTTCAATATGCAAAATATGGTTTCAGTATTACTTCATTGAAAGAAAGGCAAAAGACAACGAAGCTAACAAGGACTAGAAAAATGCATAAAGCAATAAAGCGTTCGGCCTATTTAGATACGGACACATCCAAAATATTGAGCTGGCAAGTGATAATGACAAAGTTCATTTTAAATGCAATTGCCTCCCTGGAATGAAGAAGGACTCTATATATAAACTGAAACTTTCGATGCTTAAAAGTGTTGTTCATGAGGGAGAAATAGTATTTTATAGCTGTGTTTGTCCAGCTGGGAAAGGTCCTCGTGGATCATCTAAACATAATGCAGCTTCGTGTTATGCTCTTGCATGAAGAATTTACTAGACTAAAGTGTATGCCAGAATTTGAAACATGCACTTCAAGACTTTAAACATGGAACCAACCAAGAAAAAGAAAACTTGACCCAGAAAGAGTTTATGATATTGATTTCTCCAGGAAGATTTATAGGAAACAAAAGAAAAAGAATCCCAAGCCTTTGACTAATCCAAGACTACCATGTGATCGAAATGATGATTGCCAAATTGTAAACAAAGAATTTCTTAACAAGATCAAGGAAGTGATACCAAATTGTGGATTTGTTTGTTTACTATCAGATGAAAAGCTTGACCAAAACAAAAGTACCGGTACTATCATTTCCCCCATTAAGGAGCATCCAGTATCTTTGACTGAAATCTTTAATAGAGCAGAAAGAGTCAAGCGAAATCTTATTGTTGATGAGCAAGAGAGAACGAATATTACAAATGCAACGAAAAAGCAAAGTAAATCTAAAGAATGGTACCTACACAGGCATGTTCGCATTACTGCTTCTAAATGTAAACGGGCCCTACTTAAACCTACTACAAGTCCAAGCAAAGCAATAAGAGAAATTTTGCACTACAATGGTGATTACCAAAGTACCATGATAAAACAATTAAGGTCTGGAAGATGAAAAATCAATTACAAAACTCTATGAAGATAAGATAGGGTTTAAAGTCAATGAAACTGGCTTTATTATATCTCCAAGTCACACGTTCCTCGGTGCACCTCCAGATGGGGATGTAGATGGTGGACTTATAGAAATAAAGAGGATCTTTTCAAATGGTTTAACATTGTGTGATGCAGTTTGCAAGCGTAACATATGCAAACAAAGTAGTCATGGGTTGGTTGTAAATAAGAATCACAAGTTTTATTACCAAATTCAACATCAAATGTTTTGTGCCGAATGTAACTGGACTGATCTTGTACTATCAGATCTAAATGATTTAATTATTTTGTATATCAAGAAATGCAATCGCTTTCTTTCTAGTATCATCCCAAAGCTGGAGTTATTCTATGATAAAAACATTGCTTTGGAACTAGCATATCCAAGAGTTGCTGATGGACTCCAACGGCTGAGCAAACTAATTGAAGAATAATCATGGATGGATTTTCTGGGGGTTGCACACTCCACCCAGAAAATATGCTGCAACCCCCTCCCAAAAAAAAGTTTTCTTACCCCACCAAGAGAAATGTGCACCTTCCAAAAAAATTTAAATGCTCATTGGGATAAATGATAGTAGTGTAATTGAAATAACGATTTTCAATTAAGTAAGACCAAAAACTAGGATTTTGAACCAAAAGACCAGAAATCTGAAAATTTTCTAGGGGCTTTGCCCCCTCACTGCCATTTGCAACTGTGCCCCCAGACTCCTGCTGCAGTTTGCTCGGCGATACTACGCACCCTGTCGCTCACCTCCCCTCCTCAATTTTTGGCACCCCCCTAAATTTTTGGCACCCCCCGAGAAAAATCTGAAAATCCGTCTATGAGTGCTACTATTCAGTAGATGCATGTCCGCCACAGCGAACCTATATATATGTTTTATACACCCTGTACTAGTATTCGTACATTCAATAGTAATATTTTATTCACTTATTTTATGTGTTGTCTATTGATTAACTCTTAATCTATTATCTGGAGAATGCTATATTTAACATTTTGTGCGGCTTGCTTCGTGTAGTTAATGTTATATGCCGGCATGTCTTCGTTATACATTTCACGCCCTCCGTCAATTTAACAGTACAGTTGACAGTCTTTGTTTATTTATCCCAGTCGACGTTGATTACTGATTGGTTTGCGTTTGGCTAACGAGAAAAGGGGCTGGGCAAATAAAAATCACGATTCCGTGTAGGCTCACCTTTTAACCCAAGCAGACTATAACTACTATAGTCATAACAATATACATATTTAATTAAAATAGTAAACTTTTAAAATCTCAGATCAAAGAAATGTACAGTATATCAGACAAAGTATAACCTTATATATGTTTCAAATACAAGAAATTAATGTGTGGTTAATAAGCAACTAGAAACGTCGATATTGTAAACGTAAAGCAGCTTTGAAATCCCACCTATACTCAATACATCACAACGCGATATTTGTTACACGTACAATAATGGTAGTTCGTGTCAAGTGACAGGAATAATACATACCATAAATATTACATCATACACACAATAAATTATAGTCATAATACTTGGAAATTTCACAGTAGGTTGATTATATTTCGTGAGTGAATGTGCTTGGGCATATATTGTCTATTTAGTGTAAATTCAGTATTACTTTGTTGCTAGTTGAGTATAGAGGAGTTCAGTATGGCGTCAACTGTCACAAAAATTCTAAGTTCAACAGTGGGTTTACTCGTGAATAAAGCTCGTGACTCGGCTTCGGCTAAACTCATGCACGGCGATATTACGGATTCAAAAATTCGCGAGTTCGTGGTAAGAGAGTTAAACGACGTCAAGGCGAAACTCGATGGCCTTTCACGCAAAGATTTGCTCAGCAGCTACACTTTTCTGAAGCAAGGTATCGAGTTGCTGAATGTTTCTCTTAATAAGAGCATTGACGAACAGAAAGGTGTAGGTAAATCTTCTGACGACCAAGTTGCATCAACAATGTCGAGCAGCGTTCAGTCTGGGATCTTAAACGAAGCCTTGGTACTTTCTCAAGCGATGACAAAATTAAATACTGTATCAGATGGGCATTTTGAGTGTGCTAAAAAACGATTTAAAGATGCACGTAAAAGAGCAACCGACGCTTTCTCTAACCAAGCTTTGAGCATCGAAGACAGACTGATGGCAGCGAAACTACATATTGTTGCGACGATTTTGGAATGCCTCGAATCTCCAGAAACAGCGATCGCATCGTGTCTGTCGTTTCTTAAGGAATTGCACGGTCTCGAGGCAATTGCTGAGATATTCTCCGTGTATCTCAATCGTGGATTCATGTCGTGATTGCATAAAGCACAGCGAGTTGAGTGCGTCAAGTCTGTTATGTTGGTAAATTATACTTTATTCCAATTTGTGTCCAAATACAGCAGTAACTATACTTTCGCATACGCCTGGCCAACAATTGAACTTCCAGAACGGAGTTTTAACCCAATATTAAGTTGGCAGGAGGTTTCGAGAAGAAAATCTACGGGCGATGAACTGGCCCAACTTCCCAACGGAATGATACATGATGAAGATATAATTCCTGGTCATTCTGCTGTAAACAGCCATGGGGATATTGTTGTTGGAAAAAAGCCTTACAACATCAAGATCATAGCGAAGACTGGTGAAAGCAAGGTGGTCAATTTACCTGAACCCAGTGAATGTAAAGTTATCAAGCAACATATAGCAGGACTTGCAGTCGATAAGAACAACAAGGTATACGTGGTGAGAAAGTTTCAAACACGTACAGAAAATGGCGATGTGGAAAGTTTCGTGCTGGATGTACTGGACGAGAACTACAATGAAAAGCTGAACTCGCGCAAATTGGAATATCTCCAAGCAACAAGATATTATGATGTGATGATCGCTATAACCAAGAACAATAATATCGTCATGATCCAATACGGTGATCCCCAGGTGTATATCTGTGACAATAGTGGGAAATTAAAGCACAAGTTTGAACGAGGCTCACGTTTTCCATGCTTGGGTATTTCTGGCCAGGATGAAATCATGGTATCATCAGACGACGACCAGACTGTGGAAATATACTCCGAGAAAGGAAATCTGAAGTTAACAATAGAACTACCAGAAGGTCACTCGGTCAATGGTGTGGCATTTCACTATGCCATTTGTAAAATAATTGTCTTAACCTATGTCGAGGGAAACGATTCCAATTTCCTTCTGTGCTACACTGAAGCAGGTGAACTGGAGACCACAACCTTCTTTTCTAAGAGAATTGGCGTTGAATATTGGCTCATAATTAATTCTCATCCAAGTGGTGCTGTTGCTATTATAAGGAATACATGCATAATTTTCATTGGAATGAATAACTATCTACGTATTCGAACAGTATTATAGTCTACATACAAAAACGTTATATAAACGCCAGTTAACAAATAAAAATTAATAAAATAACAAATGTCAACTTTTTTCTATCAAATAATTTTGTAAGAAAATTTTCCAATGATTTAGGAATAAACATCTTCTAATCAGGTTTTTGTTATTTTGAACAATTATATATTAAAATATATGATGGAGTAATACGAGCAACAAAATTTACTGAAAATTGCATTGCTGATGGATCAATGAAGTAGCATTATTAATATTATTAAGGCGAGATTTAGGGTTAATTTAAGATTGTATTTATAGCAAGTATCAATAAATTTCGCAGAATTTCGTATCAGATATACAAGCTCCTTTTGGTAATAATTTTAGTTGCGTTTCCCCATTTAATTATTTTAGGTAAGCGAAACAAACAAACAAAAATACACTAGACGGGAACTTTAGACATTAATAAAAAGTTTTCTAAACATTTAAAATCTAAAAAGAAAGAGAGTTTAAATTAAAAATTATCGTTTTAGACCGGGAAGCGTCTGAACATTTTTTTAAAAATTGTCGAATACCGAACTAGCTTACTAGCGAACTACCAAGTCACAAATTCGCTTTGTTTTTGTGTCTGGTGTTGCGTTTGGTCCCCCATGATGCTTTGAGTTTCTCGCGAGTTTTCTCCCGCGCCGGGAACGAGCAGTGGCGTGCTGGGCACTATTTTTCTGGGGGGGGGGGCGTTGGCTGTCAACCAATCTGCGCCCCTATAATTTTACGCTTGATAAACGAGGGCCGAAGGCACGAGCCGAGCCCCGCAGGTGCGAGGTTTGTCTAGTGGGGTCGGGGGGTCGTTTCCCCCAGGAAAATTTTTGAATTTAGAGTCTCTGAAATGCCATTTCCTGGACTTTGGGGGAAGATTTGACAGAATCTGATGGTCAGGAAACGGCATTATAACGTGTCGAAATTTGCAATTTGGTTAGAATTTAGTAGTAGTACTTAAATTGGGCAATGCTAACTACTTCCAGCTATTAATCTAACCCCAATTCTATTCTCTACTGATCTAGTGATCTGAATACATTTACAACTTACATCTCTTTTATATAACAACACACGGACCCCACGCATATGCATTTTAAGGTTTCCTTGCCTGGCTGCCAAAAGGGCGCGTTTCAGCATTATTTCATTACTTACATTACTCATGATGTTTCTTGCGCAAACAACTAAATTGCGTACACAACTTTACATTATCATAACTTCAATTATCTAATTTGCGCCGCTCTCGTGGTTCGTGAAGCATAATAAAGGGCGTAATATAAGGGCATAATGCCAGGAAAAAGGGCATAATTCCCGTGATTGCTTCGAAACCTGATCAATATTCCGGTAATGAGACATTGCGTGTGATCACTGATCATGTTTCTATATGAACGATTTCGTGTGAGCCGTGAGGTAGCAAATTAGCAAATATGGTTAGACAAAATAGTCTATAATTTAATATATCGCTTTGTTGCCTATATTCTTAGTCTGTTTATAAGCCTATAAACACATCTCTTCAGTTTCTTGGCGGAAGTAACTATATTTTTTTCAAATTTCGCGTTTTTTTCCCACCCACTTTCAAAATTCAGGGCGGGATCGGCGCCCCCTTTCATTTTTGCGCGCCGCAAGAATTGCCAGCTGGGGGGGGCGTGGCCCCCGGCCCCCCTACCAGCACGCCACTGGGGACGAGACTGGCTTTGAGGCATGTTTTCCAATGTTTTCCACTTTCCAACCATGATATTTGCCATGATGCTTTGAGGCATGTGTTGCATGTGCTGTCTTTGAAGTCTTTCTTCAAAGAATAGAATGGATTCAAAGTAAAGTTAAACTTTGTATTCAAAGCAAGATCGTAATTTAACTTGAAATTGCCATGTTTTTATAGGCAGTATCACTGGCAATCTGAGTCTATAGTCTTGTTAGTGATATATACATGCCAGTGATATCGCTTGCAAGGCGACCCTATATAGGTCAGTAAGTTTTTTGTTATATGGCATTGTACGTTTGTAAAAAATGGGTAAAAAAGGTCACGCGAGGGCAAAGTACAAAGTCCGAAACATTTGCAAAAAAGAACAATTGTAAAAAATGTTCTCAAGCTTGGTTAGTAAAACTACTCTACAGCAATTTTTATATAGAATACTAACACAGTTTGGATAGTATTTCAAGAAAAATACAAGGTATTTCGTCATTTAATCAAAGACAAAGACAACAAATATGGAAACAATAAAATTAATAAACAGTATGGACAAGTACGTTTTTAGTTCGCTTCATCTCATAAATATATCTCTTTTTATCGAAAAAACCCAGAAATTTTCAGGGAAAAATATAAATCTGTGGCTGCTTTAGTTGTATTTTTTATTTAGGATGGTGTCAAATTCCTCGGCTATCTGCAAATAAGATTTGCAGCTCTTCACAAAGTCAAAACACAGCTATTCCTGACTTCTTTAATAGTTATAAACATTGTAAAATTTACCTTGTAATTTCGACTTTCACTAACAAAAACATATTGAGAAAGTTCTTTATCCAAAGAAGGTGCTCCTTTTCTTTAGTTTAGGTTTATTTTTCTTCGTTTTGAATAGTTTTGAAAGACTTTTAGACACTTTTTGCCGTTT